ATTTAATTGATATTTTGCCAACTCTGCTACAATGTATCTATATTTCAATATGTAAAATGTATAGGATTCTGAAAAAAATTATATGATTTGATTATAGTCAGAAACGAAAGGTTATGCGAAATTGAAAAGATATATCAAATGATCTATGCGAAAAGACTTATAATATCCAGTAAGGTTTCTATTATGAACATTATTAAACTCGAAAAAAGATCCATGCAAAATGAAGAATCTGTAAGTTAAAGAAACTAAAAAAATACAGAATCGAATTAATCAAAGTTTCAGATTATTTTAACAGAAAAAAGATGTTTTGCATCAATTTGATAAATTAATATTTTAAGTCTTAATTTAAGTTTTATTCGACAATGATGAAGCATTTGTAGAAAACTAATATCAATATATCATGGATATTCCATGCACATCATTGTTCTTAAAATTTATCACATTTTTCCGTATTATATTGTTGGTTAGAGACATTTTCATTGATATAGATAAAAGTGAATAATATTTTTCTCCAGTATCAAGTAAGAGCCAAGAATAATTTTATTTTTTTAGCATATTTTTATCATAATTTATCTTAAAAATATAGTTTCTGGAAATCCGATCCTAGCATTTATGCGACACTCGATCAATCAATAGATACGCGAGAGATGCGCGTCGCACGAGAATTTTAATATTTCAGGATTAAGGACCATACATTCAGAAAAATGATTATACTGCAGCTTGGAAAAATGAAAAATACGTTAATAATAATAGTCTCTCTCATAAAAAACCGAAATCTTTTTTATATTATAAGAAAATATGTTTCAGCTATTGTATTTTTTATACAAAAACTATTAGTATAATATACATATATGCATGTAATATTTTTTTATATATATTTAATATTTTCAAAAATTTTCGACTTTATTTTAAATAGACTACTAAATCAGGAGCATAAAAATATATCTTGCTGGATTAAGAATTGTAAAAGAATAAATAAATAAATAAATGAAACATTTCACACAAGTAAAAATATTGTCACGATTTGCGATATAATCAACTATTTTTTATGCAGATAGCAGAGTACTATTATTGAGCGGTCGATGCTGTACATAAAATATATATATATATACATACATATATGTATAATAGCCTTTGTGTGTAAAGAGCTATCATCAAACTTTTAAATCAATAGTGTAAAACTTCAGCTTGCATATATTTATATGTTCAGTCAAATATATGTGATGAAAATAATTCTAGCGACAATAACGATTTATATAATTGTATCATCTTTCCTACAAATCTCTTTCTTTTTTTGAGCTACGTTTTCTTATCATGCTTTTAAAAAAAAATGTATAAAGAAAACTAAACGTTGAAGCATAGATAACATTTTTTAATCGCTCTTCACAAATTGTAAGAAATTGTACATTTAATTAAAATTTCATAAATATAAACTACTCACTTCCATATTTTGATATAAACTTGATGATATAATTATAACAAGATGAAAGAGCTTGCGAGCAAAAAAATTCCTTTTCTCGTAATTTTTCAAAACATACGATTAAACAAATAAATCTTTCTTCCTTAAAAATTATAATATATTGTTCCTACTTTTAAATTTAATGCTATAAATATTACCTTCTTGTTATAAATTTTATCACCACGTTATATATTTTTATATCAAAACATAGAAAAGTGAGTAGTATATATATATGTATAAAATTTCAATTAAATATAAAGTTTTGTTACAATTAGAATTATTTTTATTTATTGCACAATGTTGCGCCAAATGGATCGAGCAGTAATGTAACATGGAAATTACCAGATTTATTCTGAGGCGACCTCGAAGTTGCCCTACGTTGTCTCCTCGCAATCGCGTCGGCAAAATGGATGCAAATGCGTGCAGGTCGTGCCATGTAGCACCTGCCGCATATTCTGATTGAGCACGATCGTGTTGTCTTCCCGCACGACCTTGACACGCTTGAATCAGCGACGTCTTCAATCCTCAGACGGCCGATACATTCCTACTAGACCGCAACTTGACATCGAAAGATCGCTCATTAACACTGTAACATTGTACAATTGCGACGAATATAGCATCATATCGCGCATTGAAATATTGTTAACTTTAACATTTTTTGTTTCGCTTATTTTAATATTTTAATTTTTAGACTGCAATTACTAAGTCATTGTTGCAATTTAAAATATGTCTTTTGAATTTGAATAATTTAAAAAATGTTTACTCGAACTCTTCGAATAAACTTTTTAACTCGTAATTATACAAAAACGTATTTAAATATACAAATATGTATCATGTATATCTATACAATCTTAATTTATAACAAATACCAACAATATTATATTTTTTAACGCAATCATTCATAGATTGACATAAAACAGCTGATCATATTTTGTCTCATCTTAAAATTTATTAAATTTTAAAATAAAAATTTGAATTTTAAGATGAGCAGAAAATATGATCAGCTGTTTTATGTCAATCTGTGAGTGATTGCGTTAAAAAATATAATATTGTTGGTATTTGTCATAAATTAAGAATGTCTAGATATACATGATACATTTGTACATTTAGACACGTTTTTACATAATTATGGACTAAAAAGTTTGCTTGAAGAGTTCGGGCAAAAAAATTTTCTACTCTCTGTGTACGCGCAAAATATTTTCTCGCGTGTAAACGTTCCATTTGTCACGAGTCTCTCAACAATTACCATCTCTCGTGATATTCGCGATAGTATTTACTCGTTGCCATACTCGCGCAAATTGTCAGATAGATTATACAAATAATATATAACTTGCATTCTTACGTTGGAAGTGTACGACTTGTTTAGAGAGTGGCTTTAAAGCGCGTTCATGCAGCCTCAGCCACATTCAACTTTACTTCTGACGATCTAGTTTCGATAAATTATATATCTCTAATACGTCTTCCCATACGATGCAAAATACTTGACAATAGAAATTTATTTACCCAAGTTTTTCGACCTTCTAAATCGAATTCCTGTCGAAAGTTCGTGAAGAGTTCAACCCATTCGAGCGAAGCTTGGCAAATATTCTAGCTAACTTCTGTACGTCTATCGACCACGTTTTTAGTCACGAAGAGCCAAGAAAAAGAGAAGAGATGTGACGACGATTTACAAACGAGCTAGTTCTTGTTCGTCCTTCGCGCTAATTTCGCTCTCTCGGTGCAGACACATAATATTCGCGTATATTTCTCCCCAAAGACCCATTACTACTTTAATTAATCCCCTCTGGAAGCAACGCAAGCCACTTACGAATAAAATTAAGCGCGACGTATGTACTTTGGAAACTTGAAAGCATGTCTAAAATTTTGGCGCAATTCTTGCTACATAATGTAATATACATATATCTAATAAATTATATGAATAAGAGAGCAAATTAATTAATCGGGGGCTCTCCTTGATTTAAAATAAATTTAAAGTAAAATTATCTAGTATAATTGGAATATTAAAATAATCCAATCAATGATAAGTAGAGATAAAAACATTTTAAAGTTTAAAAGTGTTTTAATTGTGAACAACTCTAATAATTTTAAAATTAATATTAAATAATATTAATATAACAATAAATACTATCAATATAATTATAAGCGTAAATTTACGCTAATTATAATTATATTGGTATAGTATTTATTATTACATTTCCAAGTCATTTTTATTTCTTTCAAAAACGGAAAGCAAAATTATAGATGTGGAAACATATAAAATATTTTTATAAATTATACATATAAATAATAATAAAAACATTTCGATGATAAAAATTTGACGACGACTCTGTGAGAAAATCCTATGAATTTCATTGATTTTTTTAAAATCAAACAAGAGGACATATTTTGTAACAGGCATAAACGTGAAAATGTACAAGTCCCAATCATTTCTCCGTAAAATGTTTCGACACACGACGTAATTTCCGAAAATTAAGTTAGGCATCCAATCTTCAAGCCACGTACGAAATTAATTTGACGCGACAGGAAATACATGTACCTTTCATTTATCGTAAATGCGTTTAGTTGAGAGGAACATTTACAAATGCTACTAATTGCAGCTGAAGATAAGCATCTTCTTATCTTTAAGTATATCTCAACCAAACCTTTTTACCTTACTGACTTATATATAATCAGAGTACATGAAAGTTTATATCGTGACAGAAAAAGAAACAATACCTTCTCGCATACATCACGCAATTTATAAAAGGGGATAACGTGCTGCCGCCGTCACAAGCTTGAAAAATAAAACCGCTCATCTCCCGTGGATATAAACTGCAATATATCTTGCGTAGGATTCATGCGGTCGCGTAGGCATGAGCTCTAGATCCTTGTAAAAAATGATTGCAAGTTTCGTTTACAGAGCACGTATTGATATAACAACATGATATATTTTTATTAAGAAATAGTAATCTCATGACGGAAAAAATGTTATTTATATATATGATAATATATGGAGTAATTCGACATAATATAACTGCCAAAATAAATTTGGCCCTTCTCTAAAGACTCTCTAAAGATTAATTTTTTCTTTGTCAGGGTGAGAAACGCGAAGAGTGTTTCTGTTCGCGGCTAATTTCGCAGCTTATAATTCGCGGCTAATAAGTTCGCAGCCTATAATTCGCGGGTTTATACCTCGCATTTTGCAGTCTCGCGCACGTATCCGCGCGAGCGACGTGACGTAGTATATATGCGACAACGTGGGTGGCGATGGAGAACCCTCGGCGAGGGCGAGGGACATCAGAGGGCAACGCGACGCGACGAACAAGGACGCGGCGTCACGCTGGCGGGAGTGCGAGTCGCGAGTGCGCGTGTGTATGCGCCTTTGCGGCGACGCCGTAGTACCGCAACCCGCCACTCGTCTGAGCGCCACAGTTCCTCACTCCGCATGTCAGGAGCCGGCTGAAGCCGTCCTCGCGGCACCTCCTGTCCGACAACGCGTTCGTCCACCTCCACTCCTGCAAAATGGTAAGTCGACGATCGCAAGGAACTAACTCTCTATCTCGTCTCGTGCGACGTTACAAACGGGTCTCGGATTAAATAATCATTCGCTGAAAGAAAGCTGCGAAGCTGCAAATGCTCGCTCGAAGAGATTCGTTTGTTCGGAAATATTTATTTGTCAAAATCTGGAAGAATAACATATATTTCAAGGCAAAATACATTCCAATGTTTCCTCCTGTTAAATTCACGCTCGCGGGACCTCGCGGAATCGCGCGTGTCGTGCGCGGAAGGAGGTCGCATATGACTGACAGACGTGCCGCAGCTGCAGTGCGTCGTCTACTGCTGTCATCTGCCTTACTCGCGACTGGTTAATCGCGTGTAACGGAAATATCGCTTCAGTGAAATGGGGAAAAGCCGGATGGAACGGAATCGTGAAGAAATGAGATTAACATGAAGTGAAAATACGGTTTCCGCTCCTACGTGCTTAATGCGACGCGATCTAATGACAGGAACGACGGGAGGGACGCATGTAATTAGAGTACCTTTTTAGTTGGACAATTGACCGCGCGATCGCAGCACATGACGGGAGAGATCTTTTACGCGAGCGATCTTTGAAATTTTTCGACAATATTTTTTACATTCTCTTTCCAGAATTATTTATATCAATCTGTATTTCACGCGCAAACATTGAATAATTTTATGAAACGTGACTAGAATCTTATTTGTGTTATCTCTTATATGTATATGTTTGTATTGCAACACTTTAGCAAATTAATCTATATTATTTTGTTATCTCTATACTATATTTGTTTAATCTATTGGTAAAAATATATGTTGCACGAGAAACGCATTTATAAATTATTTTTATTAAAACTGTAGCAAGCATATTACATGTAATAATATATCACAACTCTTTTAACTAAAATATTCTATCATATTTTACACATAACATTTGATTTTTTAATGACATTCAATTATTTTCGAATTATAAGACAAGAATGCAAAGTTCTAAGAAATGGCATATTTATAATTTTCAAAACACTTTTATGCAAGTGTATATTCGGTCTACAGATCATTAATGTATACTGGTTTATGCGGATATTGATCACTTAGTGAAATATACAGATTCCTCGTGTTTGCGCGCGAATACTCGCATTCATTAAAACCAGGAAATGGAACCGTATGCCTTTCGCGATTGAGTATTTGTAGAACGATTGCTAGAGAAGTGATTGAAGTATCGATCTGTTTTCTTTTACCCTTGAGCTTAAATTGTGCCTCTTTTATCGAAAAAGTTTTAAACCGACAAAGTTAAACTGCTAATTAGCACAGTTTTGCTTTATGAAATTTATAAAATCAATGCTATGTTAAAATTAATTTCAATTTTTCTTACAAAACAAATCGCAAAATTAAATCTGTGACTATTTTTTATAATATATATTTCTTAATATAAAATATCTATTTTAGGAAATATTTATAATTTTCAATTCTTTGATACTTTCGTATGTTACGTAAGAGAGAAGTCAAATACAAATATATAAGACATTACACATATATCCAGGTACTTGCGGACGCGACATTGGTGGACAATCATCGCCGTCATCGCACCTTCATGGTGAACGGTAATCCGGATGGTATCACGATATGCAATCTAGTCGACGGTGAGACCTTGACTTACAGCTTGGCCCTGATAAGAGGTCGAGCACCCGCGCTATGCAGTTACATTACTGTTCGGGGTCACAAAAACGTGACTTCCGAGTGGCCGATCGTCGCGGGACAATTCCGCGTCCTGGTGGACTTGGCACGTGGTCCGAACAAATTAGAACTCGAGGCAGGCGGTCATAAAAGAAGATTGATGCTTGTATACGAGCCGAGAACCACAAGGCTACGGGTGACTCCGGTCTACGTCATCTGTGCAGGTCACGATGGTTACTTCCAGGTACCTAATGACACAACCAATTAGATTTAAAAAATAGCCATCTCTTATTTCTAAAATAAGTAAAACAAATTATTTTGTCTACAAATTATTTTGCATAATTATACAAAATTTCAGATTTGATGGTATAATGTATAATCAATTGTATAATCATTGTTTCGCTAATCATAGTTGATTAATCAATATATTATTGAAATTTCTTTATCGCATGCAAGAAGTATGTTGTCTCGACTTCTATTGACATTTTATTAAGGAAAATAATATACACAAATGCGATTGTGACTCATAATTCAGCTACTTGAAACATAGCGTGCACTTTTTCCAATTATCGATCGTCGTTCTGTTACATGAATAGCCGTAACTAAACTTAACTTTACCTACGCATTAACTTTGCCCACATATTTTGCCGACGCATTAATTTGATTATCTCTCACGCTCTTTCCTCTCTTTTATTACTTAATTTTGTAAAATAATTATAATCTTGCTACTTACAAAAAATTGCAGAGCCTCTAATCATAAATCACAGAATGCAATGTGCATTTTCAGGGTCCACGCAATGAAGATCGATCGCCTGAAAGCGCGGCAACGAGAATAGGACTTGGTGCCAGGCTCCTTCAATCCCTGACTGCCGAAAAGCTTCTGGAAGCCGGTTACGGCAGAAAGACCTTCCAGCTTGAAAGAGATTTAGACGGTCCGGAATGCCTAGTGATGCACAGTATGCTTCATGTAGATCAAGCACGAGCAATGAAGCAACGGGAGCTTTGGGAATTAATCGCGCGCGAGTTAATGACCGGGCCTTTGGCATCCAAGGATCGCAAATATCTGGCATTTCTGTCATGTACGAGATACCGTGGCGCGCCTAGTCCTCGAACGCACAAGGATACTTTAGCGAGAACGCAAGGTCATGCGGCCCTCGGTGGAGGTGGTTTAGCGCTCTTCGGTTCGGCTTGTCTTCATACCTGGCCTACCCGTATGTCTCAGGTTGGTTGACGTGTTGCCTGTAAATAAAAATAATTCATCCATGTGAGAAGAAATCCATATTTGTTTTTTTTATTTTACATAAAACATTGATTGAAAGAATAGTATTTTAAAAAATATAATTATTTTATATTGTAAATGCAGGTATTACCGAGGTTTCTAGACGCCACTATCATTGATACCGAGCAACTCATGGATGATAGTAATTATCGTGGCACGCACGGGGGCTGCTTGGCAACGACATTAGGTTCCGTTCTACACGAGCTTGGTCACACTTTCGATCTTGGTCATACTCGAGAAGGGATAATGGGTCGAGGATTCGACTACGTCGACAGGGTTTTCGTGGGCGCGGCTGGAATTGACTTTAATCGTAATCCTATCAGAAGGGATCCTCAACACACGACCGTCGCTCTTAGCAGACCTCTCAGCGTCACTGTAACTGTGCAAGCATCTGTATTATCAAGTCCGCGAAGAGGTAGATTGCTCTCTGAGACATCTAGACCTACACCGTCGCCTACTTCGAGGCAGTTGTCTGGAAGACTTTCAGCACCGGCTAGTCCTGAGCTTAACAGATCTCTCTCTAAAAGTTTGATCGCCTCGGAACCACCAATGCAACCTGATCGAACATTCTGGGGTCCGTCATGCGCAGCCTTACTTTCGTATCATCGCTGGTTTAACAACGAAATGGACAATATTTCCAATAGACATCATCATGAGATAGAGTATGATGCAAAAAGGTGAGTTTCTTAAAAATCATTTATCACTTTTCTAGAATGAATTTAAACGAGTAACAAGATATAATTATTTATAATTAGTTAACTATTTAGTATTATAACTATTTATTATTCAATTAATTTAAATTACTTATATATATCTAGTAATATGCATAATTATTTTTAACAATTATGATTTTTGTTTTCTATTCACCAGAAACGTAGTGAGATCACGATATGGAATACGAGTGATAGAACTTAGAGAAAGTTCGGGAGGGATGGTTGTGGGTTCCCGCCAATTTCCTGGCTTGCGACCACCTTTGGAGGCTTTAGTTCCACCACCTCCATCCCACTGCCTCACCACCCTTACCCTAGTTGCCGAAGACTCTACCGGGAATGTGCTCAAACATCCTCTTCCTACTGCCTTTTAAAGGTCAGCAGAAACAATGATGCGTAATTTTATCTTCTAGTCTCTGACGAAGGTCATTACAGTCCATAAGCAATATTGGCTTAATATACATACTGTAAATTATCTAAGATATTTTTGTTCCTCTTCAGTTCATATAAAAGTTTATATTAGGCATTTTTATATATATATATATATATATATATATATATAGAAACACAATAATTTCTCTGTATTCATAGCTCTTAAGTATTAATTATGTATTTGTTGATAAATCTACATAGATGAATCGAGATGTAGATAAATTGAAATATTTTTAGATATATGTCTATATATCATAGGTCTATAATTATACACAATATTAAATCAGAATACAAAACTTGAAAAATAATATTTACAGAGATACTTATAGAAACGATTTAATTTTTTAAGAAATTGAGTTTTTTTTATTCTATGAATATAACAATATGTCAAAATAAATTTCTATATTTAAGTAAAACATACAGAATTGTCTAGATATTTCATGACATTACATATATTTTTCGTTTAAGATCGTTAATCAAAAAATATTATACTGCCATTATATATCTATGGCTTTTGAAATTGCAAATACAACTTTAGCTAAAATAAAGATATAAGGCAATTTCTACATGAGATTTGAAAAAGTTGTTTTCATATTGTGTAATTTAATAAATTTATTTTTATGATTTATATTTATACGATTATAAAACTGAGAATTCGCTGCAGTGTATGTATGTGATTTTGGTATGTATAGATGATATAAATTTTATAATAATGTATGATTGCGTCGCTAAATGATAAATATTTGATAATTATATGAGATAAACACCCTCTGCTCATGTACAACACTTATTGTCGAATATATGTAAAATGAAGTGAATTATTTTATATAATAATTAATTTTGTAAAGATGATTTTTAATGTTTCTGCTATCTCAACTTTTATTAGTGAAAAGAATTATTAATTGATAACACCGATGCGTGCACAAATACATTAACAAATATGGCAAATAATATATTCAAGATTTAAAAATGCTTGTGTGTGTGTAACTAAATTGCAAAAATTTCATAGACTATATATGCAATTATATATACTTATATATATGGTAGGATATAAAAAGATGAGTGATATATAAGTTATAACAAAATCTAAAGCAAAAAACACTTGTATTCTATTATAAACATATGTACAGTATCCTAAATTATTATAAATTAGGGTAGTGAACCAAAAATTAAAAAGACAATATTATATTATTGACTTTGCAAACTGTAGCGAGAGAAGAATCTATGTATTTTAAACCAGAATTATAAAATTAACCAAAAAATATGACTAACAATTATATTAGACCAATTCCCCCTCACTATTATATTATAATTTTATAATTTATATATATATATATATATATATATAATATATATATATATGCAAAATGTTACAGTAATAAAAAATATGATAAAAGAAAATTTAAATAAAAAAAAATAAAAAATAATTTAAAATAATAAAATAAGATCAATATGTAATTTAATATTTTACACAACTAATATGTATTTAAAACATCATAGCGAATGACTTGTGTAAAATTAAGAAATAAAGTATTTTGAAAATTCTAGTTATTTCAAAAAAATATATTATTATAGAAGATATATTAATTATATTCTTTTGATAATATATAAACCATAAAAATTTGCATTAAAAATGTGAGATATATATATATATATATATATATATATATATATATTAGAAAAAAATTTTTATTGCAAAATATTTATGGTATAATATATTATTATATTATTTATATGCAGAATATTAATATCTTCCAAAAATAAGCAATACATATTCTGTCAGATAAGAATGATATTCAACACATTTTCCTTAACATGTCATGTTATATTTCTCATACTTTATCTTATCCCTTATAAAAAAGGCATGTTAACTGTGTGAATTCAATTTGTATCGAAATTTTGCAGCTACTTCAAAACATTCTAAAAGAAAAACATGTAACAATATAACGAAAGTTTATATTAAAAAAAAAGTATGTATAAAAGCTAAATTTATGTGAAAATGTTGAATAGTTCTTTTCTTCATTATCTCTTCATTATAAATCTAACATTTTCGTAAAATTTTACTTCGTAAATTTTTTCCGCACAAATTACAGATTATTTTTTATTGCTGAATTTTCATTGTGTACATAATTGTAATTATTGAATTTTTATTATGTTTAAATTTTGATTTGCCAAGTTTCTATTATGTACATAATTTGTATTCTTCAATTTCTATTATATGATTATAATTTTAATTCGCCGAATTCCTATTATGTACATAATTTTAATACCTGAATTTCCATTATGTAAATAATTTTAATTCCCGAAGTTTTATTATGTACATAATATTAATTGATCGAATTTCTATTATGTACAATTTCAATTATTTACATAATAGACATACGGCGAATTAAAATTATGTATATATAATAAAAAATAAAAAATTAAAATTGTGTGCATAATAGAAATTCGACGAATTAAAATTATGTATATAATAGAAAATCGAGAATTAAAATTATGTACTCCTTTATAATAAAATTATGTACACTTTATAATAAAATTATGTAATTGATATTCGGCGAGTTAATTATTTATTATTTACGCGTCGAAAACTCCCGCGCGTAGTATCACATGAAATCGGCCGATTCTGACGTCACGACGTTACCAACTTCAGCCAGCGCCGCCATTAGTCAGTGCGAGTCTAGCGGCGGAGGAGCAGAGGTGCGTCGCGAATGCTCCGCGTCTGTCTAGATTTCGTGAGCGCGAGTAACGCGAATAAACGGGAGTGCAAGTCCGGGAGTGTCGGTGCTTTGACGTGATAGACCGAATAATATGCTCGAAGAGCATTCGGGCGTCGATGGGGACTTGGGGACCCGGGAGCCTCAGAACATCGCGAGTTGGGGATCGGAGGGACGAGGAAGGAGGGCGTTTTTCGTGTATATTTCGCCGCTACTCGGTCGCCCGAGAGCCTCGAAAAGATACCTCATCGTCTCGAAGGGTATCCCGGCGTCGACGGGACCCCGGGAGTCTCAGATCATCGCGCGAATTCGTGGGATTGCGAGCTATGGGTTGGACAAGGGGAGGGGGACTATGGCTTGAGACATCGTTTCGACGGTATTCGGACTATTTCTATATTTATCGTGCGGTATTTCGGCATCGTCCTCTCAATGAGAAGTTTCGCGAGTGCTCGAGCATCTCCTAGGAGTGCTCGAATATCGTAAAAAGTGTCCAAGAAGCATCCAAACCGTCGATTCAAATTATAGGGGTGGGGCGGCTATACCCCTCACTCGCTTGGAAAATGAGCTTTGGTGACGCTTCCGCGTAACGGTCGTGGCGCGCAAGTGTTACTTCCCCTGAATGGGACTTCAGTTTCTTCACGATGATACGTAATAACGCGGCGCGCCGAGAGATGTCGCGATAGACCTCTTAGACATCACGGGTGAATTTAAGGACATTTCGATGCGTTTAATGTGATTAAAATATTCGGACGCTCGCTTTCCCGGAATCGGAAAAGTATATTTTTTTAACAGATGTTTTGTTCGTGTTTTTATTCGAGAATGTGATATCAAACGTGATCAAACGAAATACTCGAAAGTGCCGAATGCATTCGCAAGTGATATTATTTTTTCGTCCGTTTATTTCGTCCGTATCGTCCGTTTATTTCGAAGTGCATCTGTGTGTAGTGAAGTGCAACAAATAATTATTGCAAATATAAAATAATAGAAAAAACAGTGCAGTGATCAGTGCCAAACCATATGGGATGACAGCAGAGCAGCAGTGAAATATAAAAGTGGATATATGTATAAAAGGAGAAAGGTTTGGATAATCGACTTAATGCAAGGTGAGTTAATTTTTTTTTTATGTTACATTCGGATTTTTTTTTATTTTTCGGGAGGGAATCACTGTAGCAACTTCTATTTTTTTTTTGACTAACTAATATAAAAAACAAATATTAAGAAAAACATCTAATCTGAGAAAAAATAAACCTAACTTGAGAAAAAATAATACTAATATTAAAAACTATAGAATAAATAATAGAAATAATAATACTAATATTAAAAAAAATAATTCTAAAATTTGGACAAACGTATTTTTGTTCTAAATTATTAAAGTTCAAAATTATTGAAAGTTGATATAATATTGAGAAATGGCGCGCACGTAGCGTTAATTAATATAGTTTCCGTATTAAAATATAAATTCTTTAAATTCAGATGCCACATGTACATCACTAAAAACACGATATTTGCAAGTGCCAATAAATTTTAAGCGGAGATAGATCGTTGTCGATTTGGAAGCAAAATATTTAAAAAGTGACCGACTTTAAGAAATTTCAATACTCATGCTCAGTTGTACTTAGAATCAATTCTGATTGTTTGAAACGTTCGCAATCGAAACCTGTATCAATAAAAATACAACAAATTGAAAATCTTGAAATTTGAAGAAAATCATCTTTGACAGGTTTCTTAAACTACTGTAATTTTTAAGGCGTGTGAGTACAAGCGAAACGAAAATCACTTCACACATCTATAAACGATTTTTAATAAAACTGCTGATTTGGATTTGCGTTATTTTTAATTGGGGGAAAAACTTGAACTTTTGATTTTTCGACTGACGACGCGAGCGATCGACGTACTATCATTTTCGGTATTAAAAAAATTAATTCCTCATAGTCAGCTGTCAGATTCACACTAATATATATTGAAAACACATTTTCAAGTGCGTTCAAAGTCTTTAAGCGAAGATAGATCGATTTCGATGTTGAAGCGAAAAATTTAAAAAGTGACAAGCTTTAAGATATGTCGAATATACATGCTCAGTCGTGTTTAGAATAGTTTCTTGTGGTTCGGGACATTCGACTGCGAATGTTACATCGATGTACAAAGCAGAATTTAAAAATCTTGAAATTTGAAAAAATTCATTTTCAACAGTTTTGTTTAAACTGCTGTAATTTTTAGAGTGTGCGAATTAAAGCGAAACGAAATTCAGTTCACACATCTATAAACGATTCTTAATAAGACTGCTGATTTAAATTTGCGTTATTTTCAATTTGAAAAAATTCATATTTCACAGTTTTGTTTAAACTGCTGTATTTTTTAAAGTGTGCGACTTAAAGCGA